CACATCCAGATCAATTTTCAGACCTATCGATCTCGACGAGATACTCATCTGCAATTGATCAGTTCAACAGTACGTACAGGTTTCCCAAGGATTACACACGATGCACAACGGTGTAATTGCATTTCCCAATTTTAACCACCTTTCTCACTAATCACATTTCAATATTGATCCCCATATTCCTCTCATCAGTCCTGCGCTTTTCTATGTACTATTGTTATTACTGCACTTATTTTTTCTTTTCCATTTCCATTTACTATTTGCGTTTGCTGCAGCGGAAAAATGGGTGTAATTCGTTTATAGAGGGAAACGCGCAAATGCAAAAAGCGAGTAAACCAATAAATCTGCATAACAGTCCGTCACGATTTATCATTGCGTTATTTTTTTAATATTTTTTTTTTTTATTTTCGTATCATATTGTAGTGTCCAGGGAAAAACAACAAATGCATAAACAAATTAACGAAAACTGATGAAGTGAGTTTCGTTATATTTTTTTAATTTAAATAAACGGATAATTTTTCAAGGTATTAAAATTTGTTTAGTAAAAAAGGTATAAATTTAATATAATAAATAATTTAATGGAGTTCTGAAATTCATTTGTATTGAATAATTTAGTTTTTGGTGACTTATGACTAAATTATTAATAAAAATTTATAGATTAAATATACTCAGTTATTTATTTATTTATTTAAGAACTAATTATAACTAAACGTTTTATTAATCAACATTTTATTGAAATATTACATTTGTTGTGATAGAGAATTTTAAAAATATGATTTAAATCTATTTTTGTATACTTTTTAACCTTTTTCAAGAATAAAAATTATTTAGTAAATTTACAGTTTTATATAGTGATGTAATATTATATAAATTGTTTTATATAATTCAATAATTTTGTTTTTTTCGTAACTTACTTATATTTAAAAACTGATGAAGTCAGTTTCTTTATTTTTTTTTTTAATTTAAATAAACCGATAATTTTTCAAGGTACTAAAATTTGTTTAGTAAAAAAGGTATAGATGTAATATAATAAATAATTTGATGGAGTTCTGAAAACTTTCATCGCCCATCATAAATACTTTGTTAGATCTAGATGGAAGTTGATGGGGAAGCGGTGCGAGTTTTGATAAGATTTTAACTCATTTATTTTAAGAGAGTTTTGAAAACTTTAATCGTTTTTCATCATTTTCTTTTCTTTGGGTTTAGTGCAAAGAAGTACGCAAATTTTAGAGTATTAGACTTGTATTTGTGGATAAATATAACATAATAAATAGAAATAACTTAATAATGGTAGACTTGGGTTGGGGATGAGTAGGATACTTTGGCAATTGGAGGTCCGTAAGCGATGGGCGCTGCGATCTTGGCGACTGGGGCGGCTGCGTAAGCTACCGGGGCGGAGTAAGCTACTTTAGCTACTGGGGCGGCGTAAGCAATCGGGGCAGCTACTTTGGCAACTACCGGGGCAGCTCCCAAAGGCTCACGGTGAACGACAGCGTTGAATCCGTGGATTGGATCGGCGGTGTATTCTACAGTTCTTCTGAAGCCGTCAGCATCAACGAGAGAGTAGCTACCTTGGACGGCATCTCCGTTGCGGCTTTCTTGCTGTTGCTTGTTATCTCCGGTCAAAGAATCTTGGACATCGTAACCGTAAGAGTATTGTGGGTTTGGGTCGTATTCCTCAGCTACCTTAGCTACCAATGGGGCGGAGTAAGCCAATGGAGTAGCTACTTTAGCTACCACTGGGGCGGCGGAGTAGGACAACGGGGCGTTGATGAGACCAGCGTTGGCAGCGGCCAAAAGGGCGGCGAAAGCTACGAACTAAAACAACAAGAATTAGTAACGAAAAAAAAAACTAACCTCTTGTAATTTACTTTGTAAGCCATTGTTGTTGAACTGAGTGTGGATCGGTTTCTGGCTTAATCGAGTGCGGATCGGCCCTATATATACCGAAAATACAGGTTTTCATTATTTATCGATTTCACGTGAAAATCAAGTGAAACAAGGTCAATGTTTCGGTGATGCGAACACATGTGCAAGAAGAAACTGTTGCGTAACGCGTAAAAGTTCATTCATTCATGAAAGCGGCGATTGAACATATAAAATTCACGAGCTTGTAACTAAATTACCGTTTGTAGCAGATGTTCAATGCGTGTAATTTAAGACTTTATAAGAGAATTCAATTAAAATAATGTCGGAAAATTTATCAGACTCAGTAATTAGAACATGCAATAATTAACTTAATGGACAGTTTTACATATTGAGTTATGTGATTTATTATAGTAAAATGTAAATTCCAATTCATATTTATTAACATTGGAGTGATTTAAGTTATACATTTAAATACTTTACTTATTGAATTATTATAATTTAGTTTTTAGTGATTTATGACTAAATTAGTAATAAAATTTTAAAGTTTAAATATA